GTCCCGGTCAGCGTCAGCCGCTGCCCAGACTGCCCACCGTTAGGCCGCTGCACGCACCTGGCGGAGTGCAACTGAAAACCCCACGGTGAGATGACGTTCACTGCTGCTATGTAGTTTGTGCTTCACTGAGGTGCGACAACAGGTGGCTTTTGCTTTTGGCAGCTTGCTGCGGGGACATATGCCCAGACAGACAGGACTTATATGTATATATATATATATATATATATATATATATATATATATATATATATATATATATATATATATATATATATATAGACGATATATATATGTATATATCTCTAATCTCAGAGACGATCTGGTTCACAGGAAAACCAAGCGGGCTGTTTATGGGGAGAAACTGCGCGGTCAGGAAAGCTGTGGGAAAGATTGTGTCATGTGTAAACGGATGTATTCTGGCAATGGTAGAGTAAAGGGCAACCCCAAAGAGTGCTTTTATGATAGGACAATAGGATGCAGATCACAAAATGTCGTCTATGGGATCTGGTGTGACGCGTGCAAAAGGGTTGTGTATGTCGGTGAGACCGGGGATAGCATCTACACACGCGTGCAGAACCACCTCTCGTCTATCCGTGTGGAGAACCCGGCGATCGACCTACCTGTGAGTAGGCATTTTAGAGCGACAGGCCACTCCTTGGACCACCTGCAAGTGGTCGGACTCGAACGAGTGTGGAGGAGGAATGTGGATTACAGGAGGTCGAGGGAGAACCGCTGGATGGGGCTGCTAGGTACCGACAGAGACGGGGGACTAAACGTGCGTTCGACCTAAAGGGCGGAAAGAGGGTGAGAGTGAATGAATCCATGAATGAATAAATGAATGGAGTATGAGATCCTCTCACCCTCTTTATGATTCGGCGCTATGGTGTCTGTGATGTCACGCATGTCTTTGTTTTGAGATTTAATTAGAGGCAATTAGTGCCTATTATAATCACGTGCGGTCCGACATGATTATTATTTTTGTCTTGCATTTGTGGCTTTTGCGGCGAAAGCGTTGGCCATATCACACTGATGAAACCTTGACAATAAAGGTGAAACGTCTGAGTTAAATGTTATTTAAATGGCCTAAAGTGATACGTTATTTATTTGATTTATGCCGAATTTAAGTTCACAATGCAAGACATAAATGATACTGGTGAACTCAGGAGATTGCTGACTCCTGGAGACCTAGAAGAACGGTTTCTGGAGGCGGCAGCTGTGAACACCGAACAAGGCATTGAAACCTGTGCCTTGTTATGTGGGGACGTCAACAGTGAACTGGTAACTGTGACCCATCTGGTTGTTCCAAAACAAACAGGCACGCACAACACGGTAGAGATGACAAGTGACGCCAGCCACGATACGTTTTTGATTGAGGGTGGGCTGAAGGTTCTCGGGTGGATCCACACGCACCCGACTCAAACCGCCTTCCTCAGCAGTGTGGATCTCCACACGCAGCTTAGCTACCAGATGCTTCTACCAGAGGCGGTAGCGGTTGTCTGTGCCCCACTCTACGGGGTGAACAAGTGGCTCCGACTGACCCCTGAAGGTATGAAGCTGGTCGAAGGTTGCACTTTCAGGGGCTTCCACGAGCACGCCTCAAAACGACGGCTATTTACCCAAGCACTCGGAATAGAGTACGTGCAAACAAAAACGACCGTGGTTGACTTGCGTCAAGTCACAGACGCAGCCACCCTGATGCCCTCTGGGCCCAACGACAGCCCGGCGGACCGGCCCAAGCCCACGCCCACCGACAAGGTGCAGCTGCCGTCAACCACCAGCCACCCGAATCGACAGGCAGACGGGCCTCTAGGTGGGCAAACCGAGCACACATCAGGTTCTGGGAACGGCGACACAGAGAAGGTTCCCACTAGCCGCTTAAGGAGACTTGCGGTAAAGGCAGAGCGATACAAATCGCATGCTTCTTTCCTGAGAACATGCATTGAAGAAAGCCTAATCCCCAACGGCTTCCAACTGAAGTGGACCTGCCACTTTGGTGAGAGCCCCAAGATAGAGGAGATCCTCCAAAACGCCTCGACAGAACTGGTCAAGATGGGAGCTGATCTGGCGACGGAGAAAGTGGCTGCCCTCCAGGTCGAGATCGATCACCTACAGGAGTTGGTGCAGAGCAAGCTGCCGGAAGACAGCAGAACAGCGCTCCGATCCGTCATGGAGAAAGATCGGACAGAAACAGCACGCAAGATGTCAACGGTCAAAGAGAAGAAGCTTCGACGTCTGCAAGATAAGAGGCCATCACGAGAAGAAGCGACAGCACACCCCAGTGTCGAAGCGGAAGAGAACGTGCCGGAGGCCCACGCCAACACACGAGGCAAGTCATCTGGGATCTTCAACTTATCGAGCAGAGACTTGACGGCTGCCGAGGAGTCTGTGCTGAAGAAGGGGCTTAATTTTGTCCCATCACGGAAGCAACCTCTGGCTCTGGTGATATCGGAGCTCAAAGAATGGGAGCGCCTGATGCGGCTGCAGGAGTACTGGGCATCGAACGTCTCATCCTCAGAGACTACTGAAGACCCAGACCTGCGGTATAAGACGTCCAAGTGGACCCCGCCACGAGGTCGGGATCCCTGCTTAGACCTGTACATTGAAGAGGTCACCAGGGACATCATCACATCCATCAGGAGGACGGGAACCACCAACATGACCAAGGAGGAAGAGGAGGCTCTGCAAACGCTGATGAAGGATGAAGAAGTGGTTATACGGCCGGCTGACAAGGGGTCAGGCATTGTCCTCATGGACAAATCTGACTACATCGCAAAGCTGGGGAAGGAGCTGACGGACACCTCCACCTACAAGCCTGTGAAGAAAGACATGACAGGTCATATAAACAGGCAGGTCAAGGACATCACCAACAGAATGTATCGGAAGGGCTACATAGGCAAGAACCAGCTGAAGTACCTGATACCGGACCGCCCGAGACCTGGTCAGGTGCAGGGGAACCCTAAAGTGCATAAGGAAGGGAACCCTCTGCGACTCATCGTGGACGGCAGGAACCATGCTACGGAGCGGCTCGCAGAGATGGCAGAGCAGGAGCTGCAACAGCACGTGGAGGGTCTAGACTCTTACGTCAGAGACACCGGGGACTTCCTGCAGAAGCTGAAGCGACTGCCACAACCAGTGAGAGGACGGGGAGGGACACAACCCCTGCTTTTTTGCATGGATGTACGGAAACTGTACCCCAGTGTACCGAGAAGGGAAGGGATGGAGGCGTGCAGGGCAGCTCTTGACGGTCGCTCGAGCAGGTCAGTTCCCACCGATGAGGTCCTGAAAATGATTGAGCTGGTGTTAGAAGGCAACAACTTCAACCTAGATGCGGAGAGGCAGTTCGTCCAGTTAGAAGGCACGGCTATCGGGTCACGTCTGGGATGCAATTACGCTTGTACATATCTGGGGGAATGGGAGAAAGAACTTCTCAAATCATCTGATAAGAAACCGCATTTGTATCTCAGATACATAGACGACATTTTTGGCATATGGGTAGACGGAGAAAACGCACTTCGAGATTTTCACGCAAAAGCAAACGCTATCCACCATCAAATCCAGGTGGATCTCCGCATGTCTCCCGTTTCCATTGATTTTTTAGACGTGACAGTGCACGTGAAAGACGGGAAACTTGAAACTGACCTTTTCACTAAGCCTACGGACTCGAAATCATATCTACGCTTTGACTCGGACCACCCTCATCACACCAAAACGGCGATCCCCTTTGGTCTAGGAATGCGGCTAAAAAGAATTTGTTCCAGGGGAGGAGACTACGCTAGGCACAAGAAAGAGCTCAGGGCTAGGTTGGTAGATAGGGGGTATCCGGGACATTTGATAGATAGAGAACTAGGCAAGCTGGAAAATCAAGATAGGGATGGGGCCAAGGGGAGAGGGAAGGAGAGCTCAGACAAGGGAAAAGATAACAGAGTCCCTCTGGTGCTAACGTACTCTAGTCATCTCCCGGATGTGCGCAAAATTCTACAGAGAAAGAGACACATATTACAGAACTCTGAAAATCTCAGGAACATATTCACCAAGGACCCTCTAGTGGCTTTTCGGCGGGGTCGAAATCTCAGAGACGATCTGGTTCACAGGAAAACCAAGCGGGCTGTTTATGGGGAGAAACTGCGCGGTCAGGAAAACTGTGGGAAAGATTGTGTCATGTGTACTGTAAACGGATGTATTCTGGCAATGGTAGAGTAAAGGGCAACCCCAAAGAGTGCTTTTATGATAGGACAATAGGATGCAGATCACAAAATGTCGTCTATGGGATCTGGTGTGACGCGTGCAAAAGGGTTGTGTATGTCGGTGAGACCGGGGATAGCATCTACACACGCGTGCAGAACCACCTCTCGTCTATCCGTGTGGAGAACCCGGCGATCGACCTACCTGTGAGTAGGCATTTTAGAGCGACAGGCCACTCCTTGGACCACCTGCAAGTGGTCGGACTCGAACGAGTGTGGAGGAGGAATGTGGATTACAGGAGGTCGAGGGAGAACCGCTGGATGGGGCTGCTAGGTACCGACAGAGACGGGGGACTAAACGTGCGTTCGACCTAAAGGGCGGAAAGAGGGTGAGAGTGAATGAATCCATGAATGAATAAATGAATGGAGTATGAGATCCTCTCACCCTCTTTATGATTCGGCGCTATGGTGTCTGTGATGTCACGCATGTCTTTGTTTTGAGATTTAATTAGAGGCAATTAGTGCCTATTATAATCACGTGCGGTCCGACATGATTATTATTTTTGTCTTGCATTTGTGGCTTTTGCGGCGAAAGCGTTGGCCATATCACACTGATGAAACCTTGACAATAAAGGTGAAACGTCTGAGTTAAATGTTATATATATATATATATATATATATATATATATATATATATATATATATATATATATATATATATATAGATTGCAATGATTAAAACCACTAAACAGTACAGGGTGAGCCATAAAGAATTACCCGTCGATAAATTCATTTTATTTCTAAACGGGTTAGCCTAGATATGCCATCTTTTGCATACATGTCGCAAATTTGTCTCCAATCCTGACAGTGTAACTCTTTTTGTATATGCTCGTCGACTGCCTCTGCTACGCTCCTGAAATGCGAGGTCGTCTTAACGCACATCCGCCGCTCCTGAACTTCAGGAATCACCACTGAGTGTTGACTGCTGAACACCCTTTGGTCTAAAGAATGTTGGACGCAATTTATCCCCGAGTTCAGCCCCACGGGCTTCCCAAACTGAAATATCCTGAAAACCCGACTCTACCGAGTCCCTGAAACACCGCAAATGACATACGGCGCAGCATTGTTATAGCATGGGTCATCGAGGAAAATAAGTGAAAAGACGGTGCTTACCTGCTGCCATTTTCTAGCTTAATATTCTAGACAGAAAGGCAGAGAAGCCTCATACCAAGGCTTGCATTGCTTAAGAAACAAAACGAAGAACGGCAATGCCTCCATCCAAAGCAGCACGTGATATGTTGCGGCGCTACAAAGAGTTTCATGAAAAGTTCAGGAACCTCGCACAGAGGTCTTCATTGTTTCGAAAAGCAGAGTAGGGTAGGACACACACATCCAAAAAGGCACCTCAGGGACCGTGACACTCGACGAGAAGGTTCAAGAGGTGATCGCCATGGACGTCCTCGCCGAGTTTCTGCGCGGCCTACGGGATCAGGAGGAAGGTAAGTTATATTAGTCGGTGAAATTTATCAGTTACCCACTAAGCCACATTATTGCTGCGAAATATAGTGTGAAAATGGCTATCTAGTTACTGGCTACCATATCTGCTGCCATATTCCAGTTAAAAACAACAACTTACCAGTTATAAGTTTTAACTATTTTTGCAGCAATATGGCAGCTAGGGCAGCACTGTATCGTTACCCACAGCCGCGAAAAATAGCATGAAAAGGATTATCTAGTCATTTCCTGCCATATTTGCTGCCATATTCTAGTTTAAAACAATAATTTACCAGGTATAACTTAATAAACTATTTTTGCAGCAATATGGCAGCTAAGGCAGCACTGTGTCGTTACCCACAGCCGCGAAAACATGGTGTGTCAAAAGTGGAAATAGCCGGTGCGCCGTCTGGCAACCCGGCAGCCCGCCGCCATAGGGAAATTCATGCTTTTTGTCGCTTTTTCGCTCCTTATGAGTCACTTGATCTAATTAGAGCTTAACTAGGAACGAGGCGGGTCACTTGGACGTATTCGGGAGCCGAATACGGTGTTTTGGAACCAATACCTGGGAAACCCTACCCGCCCAGTGCTAGTTTTTAAGAGTCTGCATGCCCAAATTAACGTTGAGCGCGGCCGTTTTTGGTCGGTTTTCCGCGACCTTGTGGCGAAATCGCCTTATTTATTCAACCAGAGTGGGCTAATTCGCTTAACTAGGAATGCGGCGTTGAAGAGGAGCTGTGGAAAAAAATATTTTTGTATTGTTAACCTTCGCCCCAGTGGGGGGGGGGGAGCATATGTTACCACCCTGTCGCGTTGTTTGCGTGTGCACCGCTTGGGGTAGCTTTTGGTACATCAATTTCGGACAATGTGTGAAATTGTTTACCCCAGGTCATGTCAGGTCAGGTCACCAGGTCAAGTTAACTGACCAAGCCTAAAAAAAGTTTGCAATCATGTCCAGCGTGCAGTGTTTGTCAGAGAGGTTTTAAACTTGGTGGATTGCATGATGTTATGGGTGCCTACAATTTGTATGTCTCGGATTTTTTATATGCGTGACCTAAGGTCACGTCAGTGGTGTGGCCTTTCCATTATAAGTCAATGGAGAAAAACGAAAATGCCTCTAGATCCGTGTGTACCCATAGGAACAGCCCAAATATTTCAGAATCACAATGATTTGGACCCAATGATTGGACAAACACCAATCGATCCCAAATGTCAGTTACCCATTACAGCCCTATTTTTTCTTCCCTCGCAACAGACTACTTGAGGATGAGACGAATCTGTATGACTTGAATGCACATGATTTAACTCTTCTAGCTTTAACAAAAATATATTTTCCAGGCCTGCCCTTCTCGCCCCTGGCGCTGGATGAACTACCAGACATCCAAGAACACGACCAGCGTCCAGACGTAGAGGTGGCGCCAGCCGGCGAGCCCGGTGGAGTGGAGGGACCCGCTCAGCAGGAGGTGGAGCCGGAGCGGGACCCGGTGCAGGCCCTTCGGGCCAACACCCGGCGGACCATCAGCCGGGCTCGGGCCGGCCAGCCCCAGAAAAAGGGCCCGCCCCTGGCGCCGCGCAACCGAACGTACTGCAACGTCGGGCGCTGCACCGGGGAGGTGCAGTATTATGGCATTCACCGGCACTTCGAGGACTGTCACAAGGACGTAAGTATGACGTTTTTTTCATACATCACCATATACAAAAATAATGCACCATGTCAAATATAATTTTCAAGACGGCTTCTTTAGCTTAATCGCTTTTCTGTTTCCAAAGCAATGCACTTCAGAAGGATTGCTGCCATCTTCAAGAATATGTTTAGTAATGCATGCACCAATGCATTCTTGTATTCGTCTTCTTAAAGATGGACTTGAAAGCAGCAATGAGAGTACTCTTTCTTTCACAGATCCAGGACATCGCGGGCGCTGCCCGGGCCCTGAGGCGGGCGCAGCATCCCCGGCGGGCTCCCAGGCGGCCAGTGTACCGGTGCCCGGAGTGCGCGGCGGAGATTCAGGACTTCCGCCGCCACTTCGCCAACCACTTCGCGAGGACGTCGGCTGAGGTAAATAATCTTATTTCTAACATAGCTGCTTTCTACCAAATCAAGTTGATCAGAAGTGGGACCAATTACTGCTTTTAAATACCTGTGAAAGAGTTATTTCTATCATGTGCTTACTTTGTTACGCATTTCTGACTCGTACAAACGTCCTGATGACTTATTTGCGATGTTCATAAATTTCGTTTTTTTCAGTTCCTGCGGGCTGACGCCAACAAGGAGGTCGTCGCTCGGCCTGCTGCACTCTAATCAGTACAATCAGTATCTCTACCTAATCTTGTGTAATTTTACAATCATGTGATATGCACTGTGATAAAGAATAAACGTTTTTTTAACATTGTCTTTCTAAAGCACGCGTCAAACCGAGACATTGAAATATGGGTACTACATAGAACGTACACAAGGTGACACAAACAAAGGTAAAGCTAATCGTCAAGACCAGATTGCTAAAGACTGGCCGTCAATATGAGCCGGCAATCGTCCCTAATCCTTGGGGTGACTCTGGGGGTGATGGCACGCTGCTACTTTTAAGGTGGCACGCTGCTACATAACGATTCCAGGTGATGGCACGCTGCTACTTAACGTTTCCGGGTGATGGCACGCTGCTACATAACGATTGTGGGTGATGGCACGCTGCTACATAACGATTCCAGGTGATGGCACGCTGCTACTTAACGTTTCCGGGTGATGGCACGCTGCTACATAACGATTGCGGGTGATGGCATGGTGCTACTTAAGGTGGCACATTGTTAACCCGCGCCCCAGTGGCGGTCTCAGCCAACTTCGCCCTAGTGGGGGGGGGGGGGGAGCATGTTTTCACCCTCCTCTAACTCAAAAACCAAGAGGGCTATAAAGACTCGGTAAAAAGCAGTCGATAGCTCTCAATGCGTACGTTTGAAAGTAATTCAGTCATTTTTCATCTTAGAGCAATATTGGGGTCACCAGAGGTCATCAAAGGTCAAAATTTGCCAATTGTCATTATGTTTTTCAGAAAAAAATGCCGTTATCTCAGGAACTATGGTAGCTAGAAAAACGCATGGAACAGCAATCGATAGCTTTTGAACTCTTCTTTTGATAAGATTATTATCCAAATTGACCTTAGGTCAACGGTTTAGCCTCCAGAGAGCAAAAACCAAAAATAGCTGTTTTTACGACAAGTGTTTTTCGACAATAACTTTCGACTACAAAAAGCCACGACATTTCTATTGCAAGAATCGTGTTCCTCTCACCGGGACGCGTCGAATGAACTATAATTTGACCTTGAAAGGTCAACTTCATCTGTAATTCTAATCAGTACAATCATTATCTTAACCTAATCTTTTGTAATTTTACAATCATGTGATATGCACTTATAGGTGGCGCCACATGCATCTCGGTAACTTATAGGTGGCGCCACCTATATCTCGTTAACCTATAAGTGGTTCCACCCATTGACATAGGTGGCGCCACCTATATCTCGGTAAGTTAACGTTTTTTTTGTAACCTTTAGGTGTCGCCACCTATTGATAAAGGTGGCGCCACCTATATCCCCGTAACTCATAGGTGGCGCCACCTATTAATATAGGTGGCGCCACCCGCAGCTCGGTGACTTACAGGTGGCGTCACCTATATCTCTGTAACCTATAAGTGGCTCCACCTAATGACATAGGTGGCGCCACCTATATCTCAGTAACTTAACGTTTTTTTGGGGGGTAGCCTTGAGGTGTCGCCACCTATTGATATAGGTGGCGCCACCTTATGTCTCCGTAACTCATAGGTGGCGTCACTTATTAATATAGGTGGCGCCACCTGCATCTCGATAACTTATAGGTGGCGCCCCCTATATCTCGTTTACCTATAAGTGGTTCCACCTATTGACATAGGTGGCGCCACCTATATCTCAGTAACTTAATGTTTTTTTTTGTAACCTTAAGGTGTCGCCACCTGTTTGTATAGGTGGCGCCACCTGTTGATATAGGTTGCGCCACCTATTGATATAGGTGGCGCCACCTTTATCTCGGTAACCTATAAGTGGCTCCACCTAATGTCATAGGTGGCGCCACCTGCATCTTGGTAACCTATAAGTGGCTCCACCTAATGTCATAGGTGGCGCCACCTATGCCTCAGTAACTTAACTTAGGTTGGGTTAGGTTAGGTTAGGTTTGGTTTATGTAGGTTTAGGTTAGGTTAGGTTAGGTTTAGGTTCAGGTTAGGTTAGGTTTAGGTTTAGGTTAGGTTAGGTTTAGGTTAGGTTAGGTTAGGTTCAGGTTAGGTTAGGTTAGGTTTAGGTTTAGGTTAGGTTAGGTTATGTTTAGGTTAGGTTAGGTTAGGTTTAGGTTAGGTTAGGTTAGGTTAGGTTTAGGTTAGGTTAGGTTAGGTTAGGTTTAGGTTTAGGTTTAGGTTAGGTTAGGTTTAGGCTAGGTTGGGTTAGGTTAGGTTTAGGTTTAGGTTAGGTTAGGTTTAGGTTAGGTTAGGTTAGGTTAGGTTACATTAGGTTAGGTTTAGGTTCAGGCAGCCAGTGCTCTCGCGTCTCGGGCGCGTAACATAAGGAGAATGCGAGCATAAAGAAAACAGGCTACATTTATTGGTTGGGAGATGACGTTGTTATAGGTATGTCAAAGATGACTAGCTATGTCAGCTCACCCTGAAACAAAGTGAAATTTTCGATGGGTAAATCTTTATGGCTCACCCTGTATTCATTAAAAACAAACACGTTTCAACACTGTCACAGGTTCTTTATGTATTTTTACTAATGCCTACCAAATATCGTGTAAAATTTCTCCCAAAACCCCCGACAAAGATCACTCCCCTCCCCGATTTTCTCTCGTCTCAAATCTCTCGCGACACAGTTATGCATCACGTGACATGCCGCTTGAGATCTTTCACCAACCTAGCTGTTACACGGATCGTGACAAGCACAACTGCATTTGACGCATCATATAGAACAACACTAATACCAAAAGCACAAAAATACTGGCGTCGCTGCGAGCGTTGCACTGTGCGCGATAGCACGGGTAGCTGAGTACCCAGCGAGCACCCGAGTAGTCCTGGATAGCCGCCATTCGATGAGTTTCCTCTGCGGCCTTCTCCGAGCCGAGAACGAGCTCTTAGAAGAGCCGTTAATTTGAACGCAAGGAGATTCCCAGAGCCACGGGAGGATATTTAGAGCGCCAGGAGATTCCCAGAGTCATCGGAGGAGGATATTTACTATTTAGAGCGCCAGGAGATTCCCAGAGTCATCGGAGGAGGATATTTACTATTTAGAGCGCCAGGAGATTCCCAGAGTCATCGGAGGAGGATATTTAGAGCGCCAGGAGATTCCCAGAGTCATCGGAGGAGGAGATTTACTATTTAGAGCGCCAGGAGATTCCCAGAGTCACAGGACACCGCCGCTGGCCACAAACAAAGGAGTGGCTCGGATAACCGTGTGCAGAGCCCGCAGCACTAGCTTGACACCAAGTCAGGAGGTGGTTGGACCGATTTTCAATAGCGACCGATGCAAGACCGATGTAGATAGTGGAACAATCGGTAGGTCCGGAATCGAAGCGCTGCAAACCCCCGAGCTTTGCAACCATACTTCCCACTGGAGTCCAACAGGTTCCAGGTTCCAGGCATTGAACTCCTGGCCTGCCGCCGACGGCGATATCGGCCGAGCTGTAGATTGTCTTCTTTCTGCCTTTTCTTTTTCGTGGTAGTCGCCATCTGGAGCCAGGCGCTCTTCTGGTTGCTGATTCCCCTTGTATCGGGGATTTGTATAGGTGACGGTGTTAAGGTTGGCATATTCCAGAGACCTCTTGGGAATTGGGATTACCGTGGCAGTCTTAGCAGATCAGATGCTACCCTGGTGCGTTTGTTACCTGCACGTTGAGCCAGTTTCAAATTGCGGAGCAGATGGACTTGGCACAACGAGCAGTGACACGATCAACATATTTTTGTTTTATTTTCTTGGTAATTTGTGTTTTACTTTTACTTTTTTGAAATATTAGATACACTTTGAACAAGCACATGCTCAATGCTGACACAAATACACTCACAAATACACACACATGAACGCTGTAATACACCTTTTTCATTCCGAGTTTTTTATACTTTTGGATTTTAACCCGGCAGTTGCTGGGGTATTTCGCCACCCACCGTTTGCTCGGGGGGGGGGGCGTTAAACGTCCCAGCCGATAACTCGAGAACCAATAGGCGCAGCGAAACGCACGAGGCGGCAAACGAAAGAACGTGACGAGACCGACGCTTCAGATGGGTGCTTTAAAGTTGAATTTTGAGGTCACAGGTCGGGTCAAGGTCAGGTCAAATACCTGAAATCGGGCTTTCAGTAGCATGGACTTCAGGACTTCGCAATGGGCGCCTCTCGCCATAAACTCTGTCAAAACGGTGCACAATCCATCATATAGATAGGGCCTACAAGAGTGTCAGCTCCATGTAGGGGTCAGTCAAGCATAGGTCAGGGTCACGGTCAGGTCAACCGGGTAGGCACATATCCCCGAAAATCAAAACTGATATTCGCAGCCTGTGACACGTGTTTTATGGGTAATTTGGGGCGTAGAACACGATAGTGACATTCATTTTATCATGTGTGTACGTGTTTGGCTCAAAAAGTTCAATTTAAGAAATGCATGTATCATTGTCGTGAAGTATTCACGAGAAATTGCCAAGATTCAGTTCAAGATTTTGGAAAATGTGGAACGATAATCAATAATCGAAGATTGCCATTTGATTGCTCATGGTATTGGCAATCTAATGGCGTTTACGGCATGTCTGCATATCTATTCTGTGATTTTATATGATTTTTTGAACATATGCCGTTTTTGGTCGAAAACTCAGAAATCATGACGTCACTAAAACCTGGATAACTCAAACATTTTCAAAACGATTTTTTTTAAACTTTGTCACAATAAACTTCAATCAATTCCCTACAGGTAGGGGAGAGTGGGGTAAGATGCCCAGGGTGGGAAAGACGCCCCACCTCCTCTAGCGGCGAAACAATGAATCGAACCTGGAAATTAATGTTCATAGCGTAAAGCGGAAGCCTGCCTTGTTAACTGCACACAAATTTGCGAAGCTCAGTTGGGAAACGGCTGGCTGGTGATTGCATGTTTTTTATTTGCTGCTTTCAAAAATATTTTGGTGTCAAAACATTGTAAATATCAAAGAAGATAGATAATTTTTGCGTCTCTTGTTATAGTCGTGATACATTAACATGCGTGTACTGTGTCCCAAACAGTTTGTTTCAGGGTGTAGTTTTATGGCTAACAAATTGTACTGATTTAATGTTACTTCGGTACCTTGGGGTAAGATGCCCCCTGTCCTGATGGGGAAAGACGCCCCCCCCCCTAAATCCGTAGGCTGTCCTTCAAGCAGCCCGTCAAATCATTTATTACATACTTGTGATGAGAGACAAAAGCCGATCTGGGACTATTCAGAGTCCAGTACGGTCGGGTGCT